CCTTGGGTCCTCAGGACTCGCTGCTGCGGAACGCCCGCATCCCCCGCCGAGGCCGACCCACCGCGTGCTGCCGACTGGGGGAGGCGCTGCCGCCCGCGGGAGGCGCCGCCTGTCGCGGCTGCGGGGGGCGCCGCCCCTGCTGCTGCGGCTGCTGCTACTGCTACCCCTCCTCCTCCTCCTCGTCCTCCTCGTCCTCCTCCTCCTCCTCGTCCTCCTCCTGCTACTCCCCCTCCTCCTCCTCCTCCTCCTCCTCCTCCTCCTCCTCCTCCTCCTCCTCCTCCTCCTCCTCCCACCCCCACCCTCCTCCCCTGCAGAGGCCAAGGGGCACTCAACTGGGCCCCACCCCCCAGCACACCCGAGCGTAGTGCCGCACCGGGCGACTCTCGGGCGTGGCACCGCCCAGGGGTCGGCCGCCTCCCGATGGGATTTCGGAGGCGGTGGGCACTGTTTCTGCTCTGGCAGGCGATCGACGTTCTACCCACGCCCCTGCTCACGCCCGGACCCCGGAGGGGGGCCAGAGGAGGGAAACTTACGGACAGAATGCTGGCCTGTGAGGCCAGGCTTGTGTTACCCAGGCCCATACGCTGCTGCACCTGGCACCGCACCCAGAAGTGGGGAGTAGCAACACAGGACGTCGATCGCCGATCTGGGTTCTGCTCGCCTGGAGGCCCTGTCGGAGCCAACTCGAGGCTTCCCAGACCGCCCAGGGCTCTCCCGGAGCCTGTTCGGATGCGTCTTCGCTCTCTCTCGGGGCGCGAGCCCGTCTCGAGAGATCTCGGGGTCGCCCCAGGCGCCCTGCAGACCTCTGGGGCAGCTGGAAGCCATCCCAAGATCGTCCGGACGAACTGCTGCACCCAGGATGGCAGTAACGCTGAGGCAGGAAGAGGAACTCGGACGAGGGCAAGGTGGGCGATCGACATTCTACCCTGCCAAGGTCCGGACCCCAAAGGGGGCCAGAGCGGGGGCACGGATGGAATTCTGGCCTCCGAGGCAGGAGAGGAGGAGCTCGGACGAGGGCAAGGCGGGAGTATCCGAGAGCCCGCGGGCCTCGAGGACGCATCGTGCGCCGCGCACGTTCCAGAGTGCTCCCGAAGGCTCCGAGAACGTGTCGGAGCGCTCTGGAGCTCGTGTTTTTTTTGGCGCCGGCTCCGTCGGGCGTCTTCCCCAGAGGCAGACGCCCTGGAGCCAGTCCTTGGCCCGCGAGCGCGAGGGGGGGAGCGAGGAGGGGCGGGCCGCCTCGGAAGGCTCGGGAGCCCCCCCCCCCCCGGCCTTCTGAGAAGCTCCGCTACGCCTTCTGAGAAGGCCCTCTCCTGCTCGCTTCCTCCTCGCGCTCCTTCCTGAGGAGGAGGAGGAGGAGGAGGAGGAGGGGGAGGAGGGGGAGGAGGAGGAGGAGGAGGAGGAGGAGGAGGAGGAGGAGGAGGAGGAAAGGAGGAGGAGGAGGAGGAAGAGGAAGAGGAGGAGGAGGAGCTCGGCTCGCTCGCCGCCGAGTCCGTCCTGCTCCCGGGCGCCCTCGGGCAGCAGAGCGACCCAGGGGCCCAGGCGCGGCAGACCCGCCAAGGCAAGGCGGCCTCGCGGGCCCAGGCCACGCCTCGGCTCGTCCCGGTGGCCTCTGCAGCAGCAGCTGGCCCTCGGGAGCGTCGGAGAGGAGCGCGGCCACGTGTACATATGCAGCGTCGTCTCCTCTACGAGAACGGACTCCCTTCAGACCCCGCCCCACCGCGGTGCGGTGCATAGCTTCTCGGCTCCGAGGGCGGCAAAGACCTGCCTGCCGATCGACGACGCCTCGGGAGGCGCCAGCGCAGTACGGTGCACACGAGTCGTCCGCGGATCTTCCGACCACCAGCCAGTTTGCAAGGTCGCATCTTGGGTCGTCAGGGTAGTCTCTTGAGGGACTGTGGTGCTTGAGGGTACTGTTTGGATACGGTCGGAGTGAAACCGACGGAGGGCAAAACCAGAGACCCTGAAGAACTGTGTCAACATAGGGTCGCCAGAAATATGCCTTTTTTGAAAGAGCTGGAGAGATACTCGTTGTATCGAAGCTGCACCACTCGCAAATCTAATCGTTTGATGCTCCGGCCGTGATGCACACGGGCGAACCGAACAAGAGGGGGACGCCGGTCTGGCCCTCCCTGAAAGTGCCCGAGGCCTCTCGCAGTTGGGCCCCAGGCTTGGCATTCGGGAGGCCACGTGGGGCCCTCTTGACATGTCAAGGGCGACCTTGGCCCTCGGGAGCGTGGAGGAGGAATGCGGCCACATGTGTATCCAGCTCCGTCTTCCCCTGACCACCCAGCGATTTTCGAGCCGCGAGGACGACGACGACGACGTCGACGACGTCGTCGTCCTCGTCAGCCTCACACGCAGTCATCCTGTATGTAAGGACGCACGGTAAGGATGCAAGGGCCCTGGAAGGCCATGTCGACGCTTTGCGGACGGGGCGCGGCCAGCGAAAACAACCAGGGATGGGCCGAAGGGGGAGGATGCGCAAGGGTGACCTTGGAAAGCTGCTCATCCTTCCTATGCGGGTTGACTGCACGCCTGACCAGCATTTACACGTTCGTGCTCAAACGGGCGCGCGATGCTCTCAAACGCTGCCAATCGTCAGAACTGCACAATGCGTCGCCGACTGTCATCACGCAAAAGACTGTAAAACTGACTGATCGTGCGCTGCTCTCTGACAAAATGGACCACGTCTTTCAACTCCTGCCAGGTAACCTTTGGCCTGGCAGGAAGTCGTGAGTCGGCCCAGGGCCAAGGTCCCTGCGATCTCGATCTGCTCCTTGTCCACCCCAACTCCACCCTCCTCCTGCTCCTCCTGCTCCTCCTGTTCCTCCTCCTCCTCCTCCTCCTCCTCGTCCCTCTTCCCTCCTTCTCCTCTTCCTCCTCCTCCTCCTCCTTCGTCGTCGTCCTCCTCCTCCTCCTCCTCCTCCTCCCCGTCCTCTGATCGTCAAGCTGTCTCAAGCAGCCACCACAAGCTGAAGCGGATCGCTGGCGTGCTTTGCAGCGCCGCGGGCCGACGCAGAGATGCAGCCTCAGAACGGCTGCCACTCCAGGGAGGTCCTACCAATCGTCATCGGCAAATTCGGCGAGATGGGGGAACTTCATCATCACAGTGTTGATGCATTTGACCTTGTCGTCACCAATGCAATTGACAACGAACGTGTCGCTATGAGGGACAGGGTAATCGTGCCTCAACTGGTAGGTCTCCTGCAGACGCGGACGAGCCGTCGTGTCAAGACACATGAACTCTTCTGGCACCGTGACATTCTGGTCGTCCAGATTCGCATTTGATGCCGCGTTCCTAATAGAGCATGCTGCAATGCACTGATCACCATGCGACAACTTGCACTGGTCCAGGCCCCACGGATTCAGGCTGGCAGTCGAGCATCCATCCTGGGTGATCTCGAGCAACGTCCGGACAACTTGGTGCACGAAATCCTTGGAAGACTTATTAACTCACTGTGGTTACTTTTCCTTCAGGTTCCCCAAACAATGCTTGCACTACTTGTTTGTTTTTGGAATATCTTCCACATGGGGTCCGAGGAGAAGGGGTCGTCGATGCATCGCCGATGCATCGGCGACGTCGGCGGTGCATCGGCGACGCAGACGTGGAGGAAATCGGGCTCCACATCGAGCCGCATCGCCGATGCATCGGCGATGCGGCGCGAGCCTCCGACCCCATCTGCTCCGACCCCATCTGGGAGACCTACACGCTTGGACGTCGAATGGGACGTCCAACACCGCGCAGCTGTCTCGGTGTCGGTCTGAAGTTTGGTAAGAAGCCGAGGTCGACGTCCAAACGCACGCAATTTTACTCCGACACGATCTGGGAGGCCTGGATATTCAGGTTCACCGAGCACCCCGGATAACAAAGCATACCCCCCCAGAACCCCTGAGAGTTGATTGTCCCAGGCCAACACAGAGTTGGTCGGGGAACGTGGCAGCCAGGCCGAGCTTCATTATCGCCAGGGAAAGTACAAATCGAAGTTGCGATCCTCTTATGTTGAGTAGCAACACTACAACGTACGTGTGGCAGGACTATGGGTTTCTCACCGTATTAGCTTTCCTGACTCACGAAGGTGCGGCAGGGCTACGGGATTCTCACAATGTCAGCTTTTCAAACTCACGAACGTGTGGCAGGGCCACGGGAATCTCATCATCAATTTCCCCAAGTCACGAACGCGAGCGAGCTGCCAGGAGACAAGTTTACGATCCCCCCGAGCCTCGAACTTTATTATCCCCACCCCGTGATTATCAGGGACATAGGGTGACTAGACTATGGGCAAACTTATCTTGAGCAGGGACCGACCGTCCCGGCATTCCGACAGGCCTACCACGAAATGTTCTTAGATCCCAAAAATGCTCCAAGAACGAACCAAACAATGTTCGTGGAACACAAGCCCGATGTGTTAAAACAAGACGGTCCCGGCCAGAAGTGTTCTAATAATATTTCGCGGAAGCCACAAACAGATTCTTAGAACCTTGCTTGGTAGGCCTCTAGGAACGCCAGGACGCTTTGCCACTGCTTGATTATCCGGGCTGACTTCGGCAACACGCAAGAGTGACCCTGGGTAAGAGTGACCTTTGGTGCGCGACTTTTTGGGGGCCGCGGGGGGACCAAACCTAGGCGCGCAAGCAGCTGCGACTGCTTCGTCTTCAGCCATCTGGGGACCCATCTGTGCCCGCACCAAAGGCCACTCCGGCGAAAGGTCACTCGTACGTCTAGTCGATGACTGTGGTGGCCGCCCTTTGGGCGCCTCCTGGCCGCCGCGTGCGCCGCCCAGGCGTTCCGGGGTCTGCGGCCGGTCGGGGGGGGGGGGCGCCCCGTGGCACCGCCCTCTGTGCGCACCAGCAGGGCGCGCCGGCTTGCGGCCGCTGGCCGCCCTGGGTTGCAGTCCGCACGTGCCGCAAGGGTGCGCGATGGAGATGCGAGGGCCTTGGCAGCCCACTTCGCTTTTCGAGCGAGGGGGCGACGAACGAAAGTGGCCCAGGATGGGCCGATGAGGCAAGGGCGCAAGGGTACCCCTGGGAAGGTTGCCCATCCTGAGTATGCGGGTTGACTGTATGTTTCATTATCGGGGGACCTTGTCTATCCCGTCGCGGCCCTATCCGCGTCGAATCCGTGCCGAATCCACGTCGGCCTCGTCGGATCCGTGTCGAATCTGTGTCGGATCCGCGTCGAATCCACGCCAAATCCGCGTCGAGTCCCTATCGAGCCCGCGTCGGGCACAAGAACAGACACCAATTTGGGGCACAGGCGCGGTCCCCCAAGAATGCAACTTAACCTTGGGTGCTTCGTGGCCAACTCACGAGCTGGCTGGCATACAGTCAAAACTGATAGTGAGGACGCGCGGCAAGGATACAAGCCTCTTGGGCGCCCGTGTTCAAGCTTTTTCGAGCGCGGCGGGCCATCGAAAGTAGTCAAGGATGGACAGAAAAGACAAGGATGCAAGGGTACCCTTCTGAAGGCCATCCGTCCTTACCATCGGTCTCGACTGTAGGTAACATCCCAGAGAGTGACCCACACATATTCCATCCCACAGCTTGCCGCACATCGTATGGCACCACACAGATAGCATCCCATGAGTGGCACCATATGGACTTCATGATGCTGATTCCAACACAGTGTGCACGTCGTTCATTTTCAATCGTGCTCGTTTCAAACTGTTCCTGGCCCCCAGTGGCCAGGACTAGGCCCAGGATGGAAGAATCAGAAACGAAAGGATCTTGGCCCCCCAGAAAAAAACAAAGAACCTTCGAAGACTTAGAAATGAACAGTGTGTACGCTCCTTCTCCATGGGCAGGACGGCCCTCTGCCGCCATGCCAGAAGGTCAGACTCAACGGCATCCCCTCCGCGCGCTGGCTCTCGTGCTTGGTTTGCACGGCCGCTCGCCGTAGATATGAGGCCACATAGATATATACATATATATATATATGTATGTATATATATATATACATGTATGGCGCAACGCAGGCCGGCATCGGCTCCCCCCACCATCCCCATCGAATAAAGCCATGTGGTGCTCACGCGTTGGACCATCAAGCGGGTTCTTGAAGACCCCACAGCATCCACCTCCTCCGCCCTTCCTCCACCTCCCACTCATCCTCCTCTCCCTACCCCCCCTTGTGTTCATCTTCGTCGTTCCCAGGGTCGGCGGCACTGGCCGTAAAGCCTTCGCAATACCACTGCGGAGGCCACGAGCGTGCGCCATCCCCATCGAATACAGTCGGGGTTGATTGGAGAGGACACTCGAGAGGACACAAGACCCTCCCGGGGCCACCTTTTCGTAGGAGTGCAAGAAAGCATGGGTCGCGAAGCTCAGGACACAATATTACCCATGATTCTAGGGGGAAAACAAACCTACCTCGCTTTTGACCACCCTCGCTTCCAAGAGATACCAAACGATGCCAAACTACGGCCTGTACTGGACAGGCCGCTTGACGAGGAGGCGCGTGGTGTGACTTGGTTTTGCTTGGAAGCGAAAGTTCGGTAGGTAACTCACGCTCTGAGATTCGACAGGGTCGACCTACTAATCAGTCTCGACTGTACAATCATGCGGTGCTCACGCGTTAAACTACCAGGCGGGCCCTGCTAGACCCCGCAGCAGAAACGCCACTGCGACGGCCACGAGCGTGCGCCTCCTCGTGCGCACGCCCAGGCATCACAAGCAGACCGTTGGTGGTCCAGGCACGTCAAGCAACAGCCCTTGACAAACAGGTTGATCGGGCAACGCGCCTTCACTAACCTGTTGTCAGCTGTTCTGCGCGCGATCGCATCCGACAACGCTGAAGGGAACTATCGGTGCCCCGTCACTCTTGTCAAATGCGCCGGCCCCCGCCTGCCGGGGGTGAAAAGTCGTGGGAGCTCATTTGGCTGTCCCCCCTCTCCGTTTTCCCCCTCCCTGGGGCCGAGACCCCGTTTGAGCGGGGAGAGGGCCATGAGCTCGCCAACGCTTCCCCTGGAGCTTCCGAACAGTCCCAAGACGGCCCAGGAGGCCCCAAACAGAGCGCCAAGGTAGTCCAAGAGAGCGTCGACACGGCCCGGGAAAGCGCCACGACGGTCCAAGATGGCTCCAAGACGGCCCACGAAGCCCCCAAAACGGGCCAAGAGTGCCCCCAGAGGACCGCCGAGAGAGCCCAAAGAGGCAAACATCGTCCCATTCCCGATGGAACGCGTCTAATGTGTAGTATGCTAAACTTCTGCTTCACGGCGTCCAAGGCAGCCCAAGGGGCCTGCAAGATCGTCCCAAGACAATCCATGGGGCCCCCAAGAGGGCTCCAAAACGGCCCCGGAGAACCCCAAAACGGCCCCAGAGGCCCTCAAGACGGCCCGGGAGAGGCCCAAGAGGGCTTCCCGAGGGGCCCAAGAGTTGGGGCAGTGTGTGAGCTGACGCTCCGAGCCCTTCCCCCCCCCTCCGATGGGCCCACGAGGCCCCCCCGAGGCACCCCCCGAGGCGCCCCCAAGAGGCCCCCAGGAGGGCCACAGGGCGCCCCCAGAGGCCGCGAGTGCCCTCCAGGAGGCCCCCAACAGGCATCCCAAGAGACCCTCAGATGTACAGTCGGGGCCTTGACCTGAGGAACGCTAAATAAGGAACGAGGCCCCTTGTTTCCATAAGTTCAACTTCGATTTCCGATCGAAAACATAAAGAAAACCTGAGGCAAGCTGTGAAACACTTAAGGAACGCGGAGCCCCTCCCCAACCAAAAGGGTTCCTTCTTCAGGGCCCCGACTGTACCCAACAGGCTCCCGAGCCACAACTCGGGCACGGTGGCGGGCTGGGCCGAAGGCCACACAAGACCCTCACGAACGTCCCAAGCCCTTACTCCTTCTTCGGGTCAGCGGAATTGCGTAGGCCGCTTGAATAAAACCATGCTGGGCCCACGCGCATGCCCCCGCGCGCGCATGCCAAACTCATTCAACAACTATCGCGCACTTGCTGAAACCATCTCTTGTAGACGTCCAGCGTAAACGCTGTCTAAGAATCCACCACCGTGCCTTGAGCACAAAACGGGGCGCCCTAAGGCCCACGCAGATGTACGGGTTCGGTGGTTCGGTGGGTGGTACAAATGTCTTGGCCTGGGCCGCGATCTTTCCGGAGTTTCTGGGCGCTCCTGGGTGCTTCTGCATGCTCCTGGGGTGTGTCGCGTCGGCCTCTGTCTGGGACGGTGCACCCTCCCAAAACGATCCCGCGAACCTGCAAGAGTCTCCCAAGAGCCACCCAAGACTGGCTTAGCGAGCGCCAAGGCGGCCCATGAAGGCCCAAAGGCAGCCCACGATGGACCCGAGACGGCCCAAGAGGCCCAAATACGCGCTAATTCGCTCCAAGCAGGCTCCAAGAAGCCGCCCACGAGCGCCTCAAGAGGCCAAAATCATCGACCAACTATCGTTCATTTTGCGAGTTGGAGCGTTATCGCCTTTTCGAGCTGCCGGCGCTCCAAGACGGCCCAAGAGGCTCCCAAGATCGCTCCAATGCTACCCAATATCCTCCAAAGAGGGCCCCAAGACGGCCCGAGAAGGCCCCCAAGATGCCCCCAAGACGGCCCCAAGAGGGCTCAAGGAGGGGCCCAAGAGGGGGAACGAGAACCGATAATTCGAGCCCTCCGCCCCAAAACGACCATCAAGACCGTCAGTAGACCCCTCAGAAGCCCCCAGGAGGCCCCCAAGAAGCTCCCAAGAGGTTCCCAGGAGGCCCCCAGAGGCTCCCCTCCCAAGAGGCCACAAGAGGCCAGCAAAAGCCTGACAACATGTATCCACAACCAAGGCTCGGTGGCGGGATGGACCGAAGGCCATTGGATCATAGCATTCGTGCCACAGGCGCTCACTCCCGCGCACGCAAGCCGACATGGTGCAGGGATAATTGGTATTTGAAGCATCGCTGGTTGCGTGGTGCTCAAACATTCGGGCATGTACCTGGTCTGAGGGCCTCCTGAGTGCAGCTGACAAAATGATTGTGGGTGGGTGGGATGTTTGCTCGAACATTTGAATCAGCTGCGATTCTACTGTCAACTCACCTGCGCTCCCAGATGCGGCATACCTAAGTTGCACCGCACAGCTTGTGCCACATTGCTTGCGCAACCTATAACTTGCATCCCATACGTTGCGCCACATCTGCTGTATGCCATTGCACATCATGCACCATGTCTGCCACCGTGCCGAGAGGCACGAAGTGGAATGTCACCGAATCCCCTCGATTTCTCTGAAACGATCGGTGTACATACGTACTCTTTCAGGGGCAGGGTCCTAAGAGATCCGAAGGTTTCTGGGCGCTCTTGAGCGGTCTCAGGCATCACCGCGGGACTTTCCTTCTGGATGCCCAATGAGCTACCAGATTGAAGAGCAGTGCGCGGACGTATAATTTCAACAGTGCCTGCCCGTCGGGACCAAGAGCGCTCAAGACGGCACAAGCGACCTTGAGCATCCCGCGCAGACGATTCCCCAAGAAACCCCACTATGTTTCAACACGGCCTCGAGAAGGGCCGAACCCGCAGCTTTCACAACATGAGCTGCATCCAGTACATTCCTTCTTCTACACGATACGAGGCTCTACCGTTTCACCTCTCCTGGGCCAGGGCTTGACGGCACTCCTCCGGGCCTCGTGCGTTGCTCACCTGCTTCTTCTGCACGATCGTGCTGGGCAAAACACGATGCATCGCACGCTAGCAAAACCTCATGTTGCTCCCATCGTACTGAAGGACCACATTCCAGAAATGACTTCGGGCACCCAGAGAAGTATCGAAGCAGTGTCGAACGAGTATCGCCTCCCGGGGCTCGACACATGAACACCCTCCAGTTTCGGTACTTTCTTGGTGCTCGAAATTCTTTCTCGTGGTCAAGGCCAAAGTAGGTTGGAACATCATAAGCCAAGCCCTGTATCGATCTCCCCCCCCATCAGTGTCACACAATCTGCTTCTGTGCGCACGCGTTGACCGACTATGTGCGTTGTCTAAGGATCCCCGCCCAAAAGAAACAACCATGCGGGGCACATTCGCGCGCCGCTTCGCGCGCACGAGCACAGCATTCAACATCATTGGCTCCCCAACTCGTTCAAGCAATAGCTAGTGACAGGCTCTATCCAGCGCCCGCAGCTTTGCTTCGTCAAATAATTACGCTAGTTCTGCGCGCGCGCTCTCGGAGCTCATGAGAGCAGCCTTTCTACAGAACAAAACCATTCTGCGATATTATGGTTTTCCTGCCATTCTACAATCTTGTGATTTTGTTTATGGTTTTTGGTTTCTGTCTTCTGTTTCACCAGTCTGCCACATGAGAGCATGCCGGCCGCGCGCGCGCATGCCGAACCTGGTGAACAGCCATCGCGCGCCCGCCAACCCTGTCATTTCAAGGTCAAGCAGCGCCCTGCGGGCCCCACGCGCGCGCCCCCACCGCGCGCCTGTCGAAATGCGTCCACGACGTGTGTTCCAAAGCGTCGCGTGCAAGACAGAGCTAATCCGAATGGTCCGAACGCGCGTCCCAGCGCGCCCGTCGAACTGCTTCAAAACGTGTGCTGCAGAGCGTCGCGTGTGAGACAGAGGTCTTCCGAACAACCCGAGTATTTAGAAGTTGTGGGATCAAACATGGCAGGCGTGCTGAACTTCTGCGCGGGCGCACTTCCCCATCATCCTCATCAACCACATCCTTATCATCATCGTCAATGTCATCGTTACCATCGTCATGATCACCACCGTCGTCATCATCACCACCGCCGCCATCATCGTAATCGTCGATGTCGTGGCCCTCATCAAATTTATGAGCGCGCTCCTTCATCATTCTTATCAACACCGTCGCCATAATAATCGCCAACGCATTCCGGGTTGGTGGATGGCCTGTTTGCGCGAGCATTGGAGGTGATCACGTGCAGATGCGGTCAACATTAATGGCACCACATCGGTCGCACCAAATACGCCGCGTATATTTCACCATATGTGGAACGACCCGTGTATATGACACAATACACATCCTGCACGACATAGAGATCACACCGAAAATTAAGTGAAACACTGTTTGGGCCCCGCTGGCAAATGCTCATAGTTTACTGCCATTGTGGCGCAATCCTTCGAAGCCTGAGAGTTGTCCATGACGAAAACGCCCGTGTTGAGACATGAAGCGAACCTGGCGTAGGAGCCGCAAGACCCAGGCGAGCTCGACGCGGGTGCCGCAACATCCATACCGTAGGTGCACCACTTCGAATCGCGTGGCACCACCTCCACGTTGGGCTTCCAGCTGCTGTCAAATCCCTCTGGCCACTGCGCAAAGGCCCACAGCGAATGCGGACCGTCGCGTTGCGAACGTGACGCCCCTGGCCAATCGAATCCGACGGTGATGTCGAAATTGATGATCAGCGCGTCCGCATCGGTGAACAACACCTTGTCGCAACCGTTCTCGTTGATCGCAGCAGACACGGCACAATATTTGAGTAATGTCGAATGCGTCCACTGCTTGTCCTCCCACTGAAACTTGGAGCCCAGCCCTGTGCCCCGGCACCACTCGTTGAACTGGTGAGGATCATCGAAATAGAAAAACAGGTTGCGATAGCCAGCCTTTTTCGCATAGGCCGCCTTCGTCCTGACAGGGGTCATGAGGAGCGGAAAGTACATAGGAAACGCAGGGCAGGAGAAGCGGAAGGAAAAGGTGGAGGAGCGGGAGTAGGCGGCGAGGAAGAGGAAGGTGAAGAAAATGATAGGAAGAGGAGGAGGACGAGGAGGTGGGAAAGAATGACTAGGAGGAGGCGGAGGATTCATGGAGTTGCAAGTCATGCGACGATGCCGAGCGCACCGTCCTCCATACCTGGAGCCCGCATCAGCGTGACGAAAACAAAATGGAGGACCCATCCCATGCCGCTGAATACGCGGATGATTTGGCACTGACGAAACCACCCTCCGCGCCAGCGCGAGGAGCACGCGATGGGGAGAACACGCACGTTGAACCTAGGCGCGCACATTACTCCCAGATATCTCGCCATCGCTCGGGCGTCCATTTCCTGTGTTTTTGTTCGGTTTCGTGCGTGGTTTTTGCGCCAAAGAATCAAGGATGCTCCTCGATGGTCCTCGCCGAAGGAAAAATGCAGACGTCCGAGCGATGCCAAGATATTGCCCTGGGCACAAAGATCTTGAACAGGCGGAGGCGGTGGAGGAGGACCGGCGGGGGGCACTGGCTCAGGGGGGCAGCCACTGACGTGGAATCGGCGATACATCCTTCTCCTCCTCCTCCTGCTCCTCCTCCTCCTGCTCCTCCTGCTCGTCCTCCTCCTGCTCCTCCTCCTCCTGCTCCTCCTCCTCCTCCTCCTCCTCCTCCTCCTCCTCCTCCCGTCGCTGCCTGTGAGAGGCGGGGTTGGTCCCCGGCCCTTCCCTCACTGGCAGACGATCGACTGTTCGGGACAGGTGCCACCGCGAGCCCCCTCAGAGCCGGGCGGGCGGGCACGATCGCGCCTCGTCTGAGCTGGCTGCCGCGTGGCGCGCCAGTGCTGAGGAGAGGCGGAGGCCGAGGCACTGGAGTAGTGGCTGGGGCAGGCGTTGGGAGGCTGTTGCTGCTCATCTTCGCACCTGCCGCTGCCGCCTCGACAGCAATTCGGCTCGGGCAAACGCCTGCGCAAGCCCTGAGGCTGGCTGTCGCTCGCAACCGTGACAGGGCATCGTGCACGGCAACATATCTTCGCTTTGGTCCCCTCGCGCCCCAAACATACGGGAGCATCGCCGCCCCGATACGCAGCACGAAACCCGCAGCGTGTTGACACGGAGCTCAACGCGCATCTCGGGAACGTGCGTTAGGCGCGGCACGTTCGCCAGAACGTGGGGCAACACGCTGACCCAACGCGCAGCGTGTTGAACCCCGGCCGCTTGGAGCACGCCGCACGCGCTGCGCTTCTGCACGAGCGCATCCAGGCGGCTACGCACGGGATCCAACGGAAAAACAGGGGCGGCACCAGCTGAGGTTCCGGTTCGCTCCCCTTCGGTCTGGGTCAGGGGCTGCGGCTCGCAGGCAGGAGGGGGTTAAAGCACCAAGGATTTAGCCTTGAGAACTCTGGAGAGGATGTCTGGGCACATCTGGTGAGTATTAGGGAAACTCCGAGGTCCGCGCGGATTTCTCGGATCCGCGCTGGACTCCCTCCCTGGCGCGCGGAGTGCGCCAGGGGCGGCGCCGGAGGCGCCGCCAGGGGGCCCCAGCGCCGATCCGAGAAATCTGCGCGGACCTCCGAGTTTTTATGTTTATGTCATTCTTCGCTCCCCTAATACTCACCAGATGTGCCCAGACATCCTCTCCAGAGGTCTCAAGGCTAAACCCTTGGTACTTCAACCCCCTCCTGCCTGCGAGCCGTAGCCCCTGACCCAGACCGAAGGGGAGCGAACAGGAACCTCAGCTGGTGTCGCCCTAAGTGCGTCTAGGCGCAGCGACGCCAGCAGCTGCGGCAACGCACCGCCGCGGGCCACGCGGGCCCGCCGCCGCGACGCCCCCGGGCGCGGACCGCCAAGCACGGCGCCCCTTCCTGCGCGCGGGCGCCGGGCCGCCGCGAGGCCGCGGCCCGCGACGCACCGCGCGGCGCCGAGCCCCCGGGGCGCACGCGCTCCGCCCCGCGCGGGGCGGCCGCCCCGGGGCTGCCGGGGCGGGGGCGGACCATCAGGCCGCGGCGGCGGGGGGCACCGCGCGGCCAGAGCCGCGCGCGCCCGCGGCCAGAGCCGGCGGCGCCGCGGCCCGGAGGCGCGCGGAGGCCAGGGCGAGAAGGTCGCCGCGCGGCCGGGGCACCAGCGCGCCAGGTCCCCGGGGCCCTGCGGGCGCGCGCGCGCAGGGCGGAGGGGCTCCGCTGCTCCGCTCGGGTGCCCAGAGATCCAACGCATTGAAAAGAACAAGACGGAAGTGTTTCGCACATTTCGGCCCCCAAGGACCCTCGCCGGGCCTCGGGACCGTCCGAAAACGACTCAGGATGAAAGACCGGTCCTGGGGAATGGGTCGAGACTTCCAGGGGCCGCGCGTTGAAAAAATCACGACGTCGGATCTCTGGGTATGGGCCTGACCCCGGGTATGGTCCTGGGGAGCCTCTGTTTGGTACGTTTTTGGCCGCAGCGACGTGGGGCACAGCGCGCCCGGGCCAGGGCGGGCCGCGGGCCGGCGAACTGTGCACCTGCACAGGCGGGCGAAGAGGGAGGGCACTCTCGGAGAAGAACATGGGAGCAACACGGGAGGGGACGATGATGTTGATGATGATGATGATGATGATGATGATAATGATGATGATGATGATGATGATGATGATGATGATGTTGATGATGATGATGATGATGATGATGATGATGATGATGATGATAAGGACGACGATGATGACGACGATTATGATGTTGAAGATGCTGGTGCTATTGATGATGATGATGATGGTGATGTTGTTGCTGACGATGCTGATGACAATGATGGTGATGATGATGCTGGTGATGATGCTGTTGATGATGACGATGATGATGATGATCATACTGATAAAGATGATGAATACGATGATGATGAGGAGGAGGACGATGATGATGACGACGACGATGTTGAAGATGCTGATGCTGTTGATGATGATGCGGGTGATGATGCTGATGTTGTTGCTTACGATGCTGATGACAATGATGGTGATGGTGATGAGGATGACGATGAGGATGATGATGATAATGAGGAGGATGATGAGGAGGATGATGAGGATGAGAAAAATGATGATGGTGATGATAGTATGATGGTGATGATGATGGACGATGACAGACGATGATGGCGACGACGAGTACGCAACACATGAAGGTGAGGATAACAATGAAGATGAAGAAGATGCCGATGATGATGATGATGATGATGATGATGATGATGATGATGATGATGATGGTGATGATGATGATGAAGATGAAAGTAACGACAAATGTAACAATGAAACTGATGATGATGCTGATGCTGACGATGAAGATGAAGAAGAAGGTTCTGATGTTGATGATGGTGATGCTGATGATGATGTTTATGCTGATGATGATGCTGATGATGACGACGAAGACGACGACGATGGTGAGGATGAGGCCGAGGTGCATGAGGAGGAAGAAGAAACAACAACAAAAACCAAGCGGCGCGGGCGCGGCAGGCGGCCTCCGCGTGGCGGAAGCCCAAGAGGGCCACCGAAGCCACCTTGGAGGCCTTCGGCGTGTGCGGCCGAGACTTTCAAGTCCATCTCGAGACTTATGTTGCTCCCTTCGAACTTAAGGACCACATCCCAGAAATAATTTCGAGCACCCAGAAAAGTATCGAAAGAGTGTCGAAACAGTGTCGGGCGAGTGTCTCCCAGGACCCGACACGCGAAAACCCGCGAGGGTCTGTATTTTTTGGTGCTCGAAATTATTTCTTGCGATCAAGGCTAAAGTTGGTTGGAACATCCTAACTCGAGACCGCCCGCTGAGGCCACGGCCGACCGGCGCTGCGCGGAATCGCCGAGGCCAACCTGACGCCCCGCTCGGGGAGCCTGCCAGGGCGTTTTGCGAGCACGGCGCCCACTCACCGCACCATGCCTGCACGCCGGTCAGGGCCCCGCTCCAACGCGGTAGGGTGCAGAGTTCGTTCGTCTCTGGGGCCCGGAGACTTTCCAAGTCCATCTCGAGACCGCTGAGGCCACGGCCGACCGGCGCTGGACGGAATCGCCGAGGCCAAGCTGACGCCCCGCACAGGGGGCCTGCCAGGGCGTTGCGAGCACGGCGCCCATGCACCGTACCATGTCTGCACTCCGGTCAGGGCCCCGCTCCAACCGCGGTAGGGTGCACAGTTGGTTCGTCTCTGGGGCCCGAAAAACTATGCACCGTACCACTCCTGGGTCGAGAATCGACGACGCCACGAGAGGCGCCAACGCGGGACGGCACACACACAGACACACACAGACACACAGACACACACACACACACACACGCACACACACACACACACACACACACACACACACACACACACACACACACACACACACACACACACACACACACACACACACACACACACACACACACACACACACACACACACACACACACACACACACACACACACACACACACACACACACACACACACACACACACACACACACACACACACACACACACACACACACACACACACACACACACACACACACACACACACACATACACATACACATACACACACACACATCGTCTGCTGAGGCGTGGCGGGTGGCCAAATACAGCTTGCAACCGCCGTGCCCCCTCGGCGAGCACGTTCACCCAGCTCGCTGGTGCGATCTCGCCGCTGCGCGGCTGCGAAGAGGCAAGCCAAACCTGAAACCCGGTCGGCCCCGCGGCGCGAGCCTTCGCCTAGGCCCAGGTCATTAGGCTGCCCGTCGTCGTCGCGGCCCCACACTGCGGGGGTCCGCGGGCTGCACCGCCACTCACGCCCGTCGTGTAGCACTTGCAGCCCGTGGTAGACGCCCTCTCTCGGCACATCGCACGGAGACCCCTGCCGAGCTGACGGCCGCCAGTTGGCACGGACGATGCACACCCATCATGATGCTGAAGGTTCGTGCTTCCGTGGGGAGCGCAGCGGTGCCTGCT